TTCTGGACGACTTTCAGACGACTTAACTTTAAGTCGTCTGAAAGTCATCCGGGACGTCCGGGAGTAAAGTTAAGTACATGTCTGCAGATGGCGTCCTTGAAACATCTGCGTTGTCCTAGGCCACCCTTGTAAGCAAGCAACGGTATAGACGGTCTGCTTGACACAGGAAAGCCATAACTGGCACCCAATTCTGGCATAGCTTCGTACGCCCACACCTGGAGAACCTGTACAAACCCATCAACGGTGTAACCTGTTTGCATCAAGTCTTTTGCCTTCAAAGAATCCATTAGAACCTTGAACGCCACTCTTCCCCATGGGTAATTCTCAAATCTTTCCAAGTCCATGACTAGCCTTGCAAGACTAGCCTTGCAAGACTAGCCCGTGTAGGAGAAGAGAACTTTCTGGCTTCAATGTATCCTGCGTAGATGGCAAGGTATCCCAGCCGCATTCGATCATCCCGAGACCACCCGTCACACTTGGTAAATGCTGTTCTTAACTGTTCAATGCTTGGCCCAGCATGGGGATCAACACCCATCTTCTCCCAGAAAGCAGTCATCNAGTCGTCTGAAAGTCGTCCAGAGAGAAGACTTCACAGACGACTTAAAGTTAAGTCGTCTGAAAGTTAAGTCGTCCAGAGAGAAGACTTTCAGACGACTTTCAGACGACTTAGTTGGAGTTACTTATAAGTTGGAGTTACTTAAGTTGGAGTTACTTACATGGTCGGTGAACCATTCTAATCAGTCTAAGTCGTCTGAAATTCGTCTAGATAGAAGACTTCTCAGACGACTTACAGTTAAGTCGTCTGAAAGTCGTCCAGAAAAAAACTTCACAGACGACTTTCAGACGACTTAGTTGGAGTTACTTATAAGTAAGAAAATAGAAGACTTACATGGTCGGTGAACCATTCTAAGGGGGTTCGGATGACATGATAAAACCGACTTGGACATTTTCGTGGTTTTTTGTCCAGAGGCCGTTTATATGCCCTGAAACACAAAAATAAGCAATCATTTTTTCCAGAGGCAGTTCATAGGATATTAAAGCGACTTATGGATCAGTTTGGAGCCATGTAGTGAGGGCATCCGACTTCTTCTTGTCAACTTCAGCAAAAGGATCATAACCTTTGCCAACATTTTTGTTTGGAATGATCTGTTTGACAGTGTTGTTTCCCTTGAAAGGAGTTTGTTGATTGGGAGCAAGTTTCCGATCTCGCTCACTTTTTGCACGGAGTTTCACCTTGTATGCTTCCTTCTTTGTCTGTCTCCTAGCTTCCGTGAGCTCTAAATCTTCGGCAGTGGGTTGGTCCAAAACGAGAAGACTGGCTTCACCATCACTACTCGGGTCCTCTACATTTTCCTTCACCACCAGCTCTTTCGAGTCTTTCGAGGGAGTATGACACTTTTCTTTCGCCCCATTCACACTTTCACTCTGCAATGGGTTGGTACAAAATGTGTTTAAAAACATACCACAAAGGTTCGGAAGCAAAGGATACAATGGTTAAAAACTCTACACACAAGCCTATTTTGTCCTCTTCTTAACACGTTGCATAGTGATTCTGGTACTAACCCCGGGTTTTTCTGGATTTGCTGAAGTACTACACACCATCTTCTCCAGATCTCCCACCTTCTTCTCCAAAGCTCCCACCCTAGACCCCACCAACTGT